TGCATCCTTTATGTTATCTGATATCTATTTGGAGGTTTATCTAAAGTTGATGGTGTAGCATCCTTTAATGTAATCTGATATCTATTTGGAGGTTTATCTAATGTTGATGGTGTGTAGCATCCTTTAATGTTATCTGATATCTATTTGGAGGTTTATCTAAAGTTGATGGTGTGTAGCATCCTTTAATGTAATCTGATATCTATTTGGAGGTTTATCTAAAGTTGATGGTGTGTAGCATCCTTTAATGTTATCTGATATCTATTTGGAGGTTTATCTAAAGTTGATGGTGAGTAGCATCCTTTAATGTTATCTGATATCTATTTGGAGGTTTATCTAAAGTTGATGGTGTGTAGCATCCTTTAATGTAATCTGATATCTATTTGGAGGTTTATCTAAAGTTGATGGTGTAGCATCCTTTAATGTAATCTGATATCTATTTGGAGGTTTATCTAATGTTGATGGTGTGTAGCATCCTTTAATGTTATCTGATATCTATTTGGAGGTATATCTAAAGTTGATGGTGTGTAGCACCCTTTAATGTTATCTGATATCTATTTGGAGGTTTTTCTAAAGTTGATGGTGTGTAGCATCCTTTAATGTTATCTGATATCTATTTGGAGGTTTATCTAAAGTTGATGGTGTAGCATCCTTTAATGTAATCTGATATCTATTTGGAGGTTTATCTAAAGTTGATGGTGTAGCATCCTTTAATGTAATCTGATATCTATTTGGAGGTTTATCTAAAGTTGATGGTGTGTAGCATCCTTTAATGTAATCTGATATCTATTTGGAGGTTTATCTAAAGTTGATGGTGTGTAGCATCCTTTAATGTTATCTGATATCTATTTGGAGGTTTATCTAAAGATAACGGCATATACAAACCAATTTTCTCTGTTAATATGCTGGAACCTGGCTATATATTTGTTCTCTATCAATAAGGTCTGTTTATCTATTTAAGGAAACAAGATGGAAATTGATTCACACTATTCTCCAGAAAATAATTATTGATTTTTTAATGGTTTAATAACATAATTATTATATTCATATTACTTAGATTTACATAGACAGGTTGATAGGGTTAGGAGGAAGGGGATATTAGCATAGGAGGGTAACATCCCCACCCTATTTGCAAATACATCTGCAAGGGTTTAAGGGAGGGATTGAAGTTGAAATATACCCCTAACCCTCCCTTTCCAAGGGTAAAATCTTAACCTATGTTTGGAATCTATCTAACAACAGACCTCTATAAAAGGAAACAAACATCTAACTTGCTGAACCATCACAGCTTCAAGACTTTAAAAAGAGATGGATGAAGGAAGTTTCTGAAGGAATGAAGTATTTATTTATTCAAAAAACCCATTGAGATATAAAACCTTGGCTTTTCTGTCGTGATTACACAAGAATAAGGCGAAGCATTGAAATAACTTAATATGAAAATAGCATTAAATCTTCTGACAACCAATTTTAGAACATTTTAAATAGAGTTTAAAATTATAATAGTTATGTTATGAGCTTTGTTATATTATATTTTTCACCAGAAACTGCTAGAATGAGATATTTATG